GTTCCCGTGGGATTCATTAATTTAGTTTTTTAATGTTTACTCGATCATTCTGCAACGGTTCAACATATCTTATTGAAATTTGGCATATATAAAACAAAGTCTGGAGTACACATGGGATAAGTTCATCCCCGAGTAATGTCCGGTTCCCGAGGGATACGTAGCTTTTTGTAATTTTTATAGTTTGTATGTTTTCTAATACCAAGCGTACAAAGTCGCGGGCAACAGCTCGTAGGCTATATTTTTTAATTTCACGCGGACGTAGTCGCGAGGAATAGGTAGTATTATATCATACTTAAAGTACCATGACAATTTCGTCTTTATAAGTTTTATACGACTAGAAAGGTAAAGATGTCAGTCGTAGTCACAAGATTAGCAGTAATTTAACCGATAGATTAACAATTTATCGGTACTGTTACTGCTAGTTGATGTTCAGACATTCCTAACAATCAATTAATTACCAGCTTACGTAGCAACGCTATAAGTAGTCCAGGCACAATAACGGACGTACAATAACGAGTGATTAGTGACTATTCGTATGTGAAACCGGCCGTGTGGATCCCCCGTTAGAGCTCGCTTGATATGCAGTCGGATAAGTAAGACAATGTGTAACGTTTAATCATAGACGCAATGAGACCATAACTTTGTTACTAATTGAAAATAAAAATTTACTCTTTATCGTCTTCAGTTCATTTCAATTTAGTTCTCCTAAGGAAGTTGGAAGGCCGGCCAAAAATAAACTTTAACTTTAAGGTATAAGGACAGGTTGATGATCGCACTAACGACTGTACTCAGAGTTGTTATTGAAGTAAAGCTACATTTGACGACTATACAATTAAGTTCCCAACGGCTTACATTTAGGGCCTTTGTGAAGTAAAATATTTATACAAAACGTTAAAAAGTATTAAACATTTTTAAAAGCCATTTATATGCCGCTTTTAATATCAAATTATGCAACATTTAATCGATTTCAAATCATTAGGTTTGACTTGAATATGTATATTCATGGTTTGTTACGTCAAATCATTTAATATCCAATTTAAAATTTAAATTCATTAAAGATTATAAAATTGGGCTTCATTTCTTACAAGGTTAAAAAGGTGACGCATATATGAATATTATTTATGCGTTATGTAATTAGGGCAAACTCGATTTTTTTACAATTAGATAAATTGTTATAATTGAAAAATACTAATATTTTTGCGTTTCGTAGCGTAATTATTAGGAAAGATTGATAGAAGCTGTGACAAAAAAGGTTATAAATATACATTAGAAATCTTTGACAAAGTTATTATACTATGTGCTTTAAAAAATTAACAGAAAAAAACATACATACCGTAAACATCTCCTCTTGAAATGTTATCTGAAAATAAAAATATAAATTAAGTGTGATAATCCTTTTCTTTGTAAATTGTAAATTTCATAACCTAAAACGTAACGTGATTTTTGGGTTATTTTGTGATTTCTGAGAACGTAAACAAGTTAGATTAGCAAATTAGTTGAAATGAGCTATTTCCTTGTTGCGAAGTAACATCCATTGGCGCGCATATTTTTCTAAAACGGCATGTTGCTCAATAGTGGCCAGTTCGTGTAAGACATAATCCCGATAAGGTTCTAACGTTTTACGAAATCCCCGGTAAGATACTCTACGGTTTTTATACTTGATTAAAAGGAAAGAATACTATTTATATTATAAGCAGACATACTATTTTTTTATTCAAGAGAAATGTTTGATGATATATTAATTAAAAATAATGATTGATTGATGAAATACGATTTGAGAATACGTACGTAATTTCGCGTGCAGTTTCATATACGCAATATTCATAGTTTTTTATTGTCTGGAATTTCATTAAATATTGACAATTTTATTTGCATTGATCACATATTATATTTGTTCAGTAACATTTTTATTGCAAGAATTTGTCACGAAAGTACGAAACATTTTTTTTCATTACATAATTTTCTTTTCCTTACATTTGGACAAATATTTGTTAAATTGTACTTAATCTTACTAATATTATAAATGCGAATGTAGATGGATGGATGAATGTTTGTTATGAGTTTGTAGCCTAAACGTCTTAACGGTTTTTGATAAAAATTTAGTAGAACACATAGGCTACTAACCAATTTTTTTTTTTAATTCTACGCGGACAGAGTCGCGGGCGAAAGCTAGTTTACTACATTTTTTAAATATATTTTACTACGTAATTAAAGACTTATTAATTCTATGATTAGTTTAATTATTTGTTGATAGAGTCCGTGTGATTAGAACAGGTTGTCCACTCCCTGTACCCGAGCTTTAGGTCACTGGGCTGTCGCCGAGGAATGCGGTCGTTTCGCAAAGTCTCTCTCTCTAACACACCCCGTCTCTCTCTAATCGCCGAAGTCTACTCGGCTCTCGAATGTACCGTAGCCCCGCGGGGCCACCTTCTTCGGAAGTCCGACCGGATTCCAGCGACTCGCCGATTTGAGATACGACGTTTTCTTCGTGTTTTCAACAGATTTACTGCTTTGCTGCGTAAGCGTCATATTTGCGAATACTATCCAAACCGGTTACAATAACATCCAAGAGACCGACAATCTTTAGTCTTAGTAACCGATAACTTTTGTGACTACGTCCGCGAAGTAAAAATACTTAGTAAGTACCCTATGTATTGATAACTTATCAGAATCTATCCTTTGAGTTGTTCCCTAGATAACTTCTAAACAACATCCATTAATCCATCTACACATTCGCATTTATAATATTAATACGTAGTTAAGACGGTTACTAAAACCATAGATTCTAACTGGGCGATCGCAATAACCAATATTCCGAAACTTCTTAATGTTTAGTTATTTATTATTTATTTATTTATTGGAAAGGTACACCAATTGCATGTTCAAAGTTCAAAAAGTTCTGTACATAATGAAAAACATAGAAGCAGAAGAACATACAGATGACAGGCGTACACAGCGCTCACAAGAAAATGATGTTTTACTTTTTCAATAACAAACGTTGAATCGCTTACTTACATCCAATTGAGATGTCATTGCTACAACAAAACCATGCGGATTTTTTTTTTGTCATTTTTACATGAAAGAATTTTAAGTTCGAAAATGCGCACAGACCTCAATGTACCACATTCCTAAAGTTGAATTTTCAGAACGCTCTCTTAAATAATATTGTTCTCTTTCACAAAACATTTTAAAAGTTAAATATAATTTTTACAGTCAAAAAAGTGAAATAGACGCCACAATCTTTATATAGTTAAAATCGCCTCACGAAAAAGAAGAAACCTTCAATATTTAGTTTTAATACTGATAGTCTGACGATATTATAGTTAATGTTAAAAAAATCATACATATAAATGAGAACCATAACAACTTAATAGGATTCCAAAACATTGTAATGTGGTAAATGTTATTAAAAATTGAACTTCTGTTTTATTACACTTTTTTTCCCAAAAAAAAGAGATTTTAATAACTGCAGCGAAGACATCGTTTGCGCAGTACCAACATGAAAATAATTGACGATTCCCCAGACCTTTTCGAATACAGTCAGACGCGGTGACGACTGCAAAGGTCCAATAACGCCGTCTGATCAATAAAACTACATGAGCGATATAGTTACGTCATCTGGAGAGACTTTTAAGAAGTAGTGAATTTATTTATGCCCGGTTCACACTTGGCTAGTTGTGACCGCTAGTCATAGATTGCATGGACTGGCGCCAGTTAGCGTTCATCCTCTGCCAGTTGATTGTCAGTCCAGTAATAGAGCGCTATTGACCGACTGTACTGGCCAAGTGTTAACGCATTAATTCATGATCATATTCGATGACTGGTATGCGTGTAAATCGTAACCTCATTGTGAGTGGTCAATAGTCAATACAGCACGGCGCTGTGCGAACCAAGGCCGTGTCCATTGTTTCGGTGCAATGGCGTCTTGAGGTTCGCCTTACAGGATCCGATTAAGTACTTTATTATTAAGATATATTTTAAAACATATACCTACTCTTTCTTATTAATATAGGGATATGTTTATTTATATACTTAAGTAACTAATATATTGCGCAGTCCATTCCTGTCAACAATGGCGCATGACTGTGTTCCGGTTTTATAATCGTAACGTATACTTATATGTGGACCACATTGTAATTGTATGTATATTGATAAAGTGCGCAGGATTTAATATTACTAAGTACTGTATAGCGTTTTAAATAGTATGCTATGGGTTGGCAACATTATTATTTATTGATATCACTAAAGCAAAATCTTTAATTATATTTTACACTTCTTAGATAATATTTGTTACTAGCTGTTGCTCGTGAAGTCGTTACCGTTAAATTAAAAAAAATAATAAAAATCATAGCCTATGTTACTGATAACGTAGCTTTTTTTTAGCCAACAGTTTTTGATTTATTACATACAAAAATACAAATCTTTCCTCTTTATAACATTAAGAATAGATATTGGAGTTTAGATGTAGTTTTGACGTACTTTAATTGTTTAATACTAGTACATAGACACGCCACAAACCTCATGCTAACTGTGTTTACGTCGTAGTGTTTTTCACAAGGTTGTCCTGATAAGTTTCAATTGATTATGTGGGTTATTTGTATTGGAATAAAAGTTTGGTATTTATTCAGGATGTTCCATGTATTGGTAAATACTGATACTTACAATCATTATCGTGGGAGTTTCGCGCGTGTCCGCGTATCTGTTCGTTGACGTAGTTGTTTGTGCGCGGCACGTTGAGGGCGCTGCGGATGCCGACGGAGGAGTTGTCGAGGTGGCCGGGGCCGATCTTTGGCACGTGGCTCGAGCAATACACCTCCTTGTCCTCCGTCCAATGTTGATTGTTGTAGTATGTCTGCGAGGGGAAAGACATAGATTAGATTTGTGTAGAGAGGTTAAAAAGTTGAACCGCTTTGAGGTTAACTTTTTATTGAAAATGTGGTGCGAAGTGGATACCTTTTAAATTCACAAGTAAATTTAGCTGACAATTATTATCGTAACTACATTTAATTTAATGATTGATAAGCTTATTGCATAAAATTAAAAACAAGTGAAATTTAATTATTGTCAGTGATTAGTGAAAATTAAAGCGTCAAAAAAACTATTTAATGAACAAAACAAGTGACTACATACCGACCGTGCAATTCGTCACGTAAACCGAAATGCATGTCGTTTAAAATTTCGTGGCACACGACTACTGCAATGCGTGAAGTGAATTGACAGTTTCGTGAACTAAGAATGCACGCAATCAACGCATATTGCTACGATAATTAGAAAATGTGTACAAGAAACTCACTCTAAAGGCTTATAATTGATCCTACAAGTTTGATTTTAGAGATAATTGGATTTGGAGGCCTGTGTAGTAAGCAGATCCAAAGGTAACGTAACCAAGATTTTTTTTATAGCTTAATTGTAATTATATCAAAGTTAATTTGCAATAATGAATAGGAAATTTGTGTAAACCTAATTAAAAAGTTTAAACTGTTAGTTACAAATGACTGCATTTTTCAACCGATTTATATCACTTAACAAAAGCACAAAAACCATAGCAACTTAACCTTTCACATTATCCGGCTGTAACGAAATGTTTTCCAAAATTTGACAAATAAGAGATCAACTGATAATGGTCGCACAACGTTTTCAAACTCACCGTTAAATAGTTATTTAATTCATATGATTTTAATGTACCGTTATTTACTTTCACATTGCATTGTTTGTTTGCGAGTTTGTTAATGGCCGATGTTAATTCTTGTGCGCTCACATCCGCGAGCTGTGGGAAACGAATTTTACGCTTACGCTTATAATTGTGTATTTTATTACCCGTAATGTTGTTAATTTTTTTTACGATTAATTTCGTTATTTGTAATTTTTTGAAATAGCCTTTTAATATGTAGTAATTTCTCTTGAGTTTATTTTCTTAATTCACGATTAATTAGTTTTATATTCGGAACATTTTTAAAGTAGCTTCTTCCTATGCTTGAATTTCAACAATTTATGCATATTCAAATGAACTAAATGATTGAGCGGTATTTTTTGTCGTAATATATTTAGAAGCTGCATCCAATTGAATATTGTTCCGCATAGTTTTCTCAACGAATGCTTTCAAATATGGAACACCGCAAAATTCTCTCATAGTACTATATTTAAACCTAAAGGTGTGATTGTCCATTGTAAGAGCAGACGGATACCTTTGACTAAAATATCGCACTACTGTTGTGTGATTGTCGATTGTTTGTAGCCAATTCAAATGTTTAATTGTGCAGCTAAAAATCAAGTAGTGTCCACCATATAAACTCTTAGAAATTAAAGCGAAAATAAACAGTTCTACATCACCTTCAACTTGCCCTTATCCCTAATGGAGGGTCGGCACAGTATGTGCTGCTCTTCCATACATCTCTATCAGACGCCATATCTGAATCCACTCCTTTCTTAAGCATATCCTCTTTCACACAATCCATCCATACTTTCTTCGGTCTTCCTTTGTATCCACATTCATTCTTAACACTTTCTGGTTAATGTCCCCATCGTCTCGTCGCATAACATGTCCATACCACGCTAACCTTTTGCTTCTCAATTTCTGCACCACTGGCGCTACTTTCAAACTTCTTCTAGTATACACATTCCAAAAAAGAATAAACAGTTCAAAAAGTGTGCGCGAGCTCTAAATGGAGGTATATGTAACATTCGTCAAAATGCAGTCGTTACAAATACACACGTTATTTTAACATCCCAATAAATTAAGTCGTAATAGCGATCCGTGCAAAATATATAAAATAAAAAAATACTGGTGATAAAATTACAGCACGATTATACAATACAAACAATGAGTAATTCAGGTTAATAACTCAAGGATCTCTATGACTCATAACGTCTGATCGTATTTTTTTACAAACTTTTATTTACATTGTATTAATCATTTCTATAAGAACAGCTGTTACTGATTTTGATCATGTACTTTTGTTCATGTTTTGTTTTACGTTCGATGCTACGACTTTATGTATAAATTCGTAATAGTGGGGCGGTTTATTTATATATATACTAGCTTTCGCCCGCGACTCCGTCCACGTGGAATTAAAAAAATTTAAGTAAGTATCCTATGTGATCTTCCAGACTATCTTCTACATCTTTACCAAATTTCATAAAAAATCGTTCAGCCGTTTAGGCAACAAACTCTAACAAACATTCATCCATCCATCTTAACTTTCGCATTTATAATATTAGTATGAAGTAAGATTAGTAAGATATATATGTGTTAAATGTGATCAAAGGAGGAGGAAGAAATGCGCATAGGAAAGGGAAATATCCTCTTTATGTACGTCTTCTTCTCCATTGACTAAGAGTAGGCAACGCATCTTCAATTGCGGATGTATATATATGGGCAGCGATCGCTTAGCTCTCTCGCAATTAAGGTGGCCGCTCGTTCATTTGCCAATTTACAATAAAAAAAGGTTGTATAAAAGTTGGCGACGACTTTTTGATTTATTTAGTTTTTTAAATAATTATCTGCATGTGAGCGGGAAATGGTATATATTTTGTTTAATAAAAAGCGATTGTATAAGGACTCATTTCGCGTGGATCTTTTTTTCATTTTTATTAATTTTACACATCAGAACCAAGAGAATCGTCGCAAAACATGTTGTGATTTGTCGCGCGGCCTTGATCTACGCAATATCTTCATGCTGTCGACTGCCATTTAGTCGTTTGGTTGACCTCGCTGTCTTATCAAAACCGTCATTGCTGTTTTATGGATAAAATTTAACGAATTTAAAAAAAAATACTTGTGTAGATAATTATTGTGACAGTTTAGCGACGGAGTTTCGGTTCTAACTTCTTAATCCAGGATATGATGCAAGATTCCCGAGCCCAATTGAGTGTTCAAAAATGTAATAAAAAAATGCATATTTTAGCCTATCTATGGAATTATAAATGTGTACAAAATATTAATAATTAAGTCTCCAATCGAGCTGACACTAAAAAAGAGGAAAAGTGTTGAAAAAATAACAAGCTGATGCCCGTGACTCCGTCCACGCAACATAAAAAAGTAGCCTGTAATATGCGCGTCTATGTCAGCTACCCTTTAGTGAAAGTCCGTTCGAAATCGGCCCAGCCGTTTCGTAGATTACCCGGAACAAACGCGGCTTGCGTATAGACAGACAGACAGACAAAAATTTTTTTAACAACGATTTACATTATTAGCAAATCTTCGAGAAATCCGGATTTTTTCTTATGATATAATATTACAGACACTGCAATTTTATTACATGTATTGATATGGATTAGTAAAGGCACATAGATCATAATCATCTATCTGTGACCATAAAGATTCATTTGACAAACACTTACTTTCAAAGTCAACTTGGTGCCGCACACCGCACACTTGAAGCAGCCGCTATGGAAGAAGGTGAAGTCTTTGAGTGGGCCAACACGGTCCACCTGGTACACGATCTCATTGCACCGAAAGCACGTGCTTTCGTAGAAGTTAGGCCGGTACATGGCGGCACTTTGTACTAAGTCATACTTAAAATGAACACTTGATACACTTAGTCACTTTGGTTACAATCACTTTTTAGATTTATCTTCACTTGCACAACTGTATTAAAAAACAGATAATAATTTATTGTTGATTTGTTAAAGAATTATAAACCAGTGGTTTTGAAGTATTATTTCAATGAAAATATTTAATATATAATTTGGCTTTGGCTTTAGCATTTGAAGTAATGGTTAATTAACAAAATTATTGAACATTCTAATAGTTTTTTTCGAAACGTATGATACGGAATGCGATATTAAAATGATAACAACTTTAGTTTTGTTTTAAAATTTCGTTGCAACCTAATAGTGACCGGACTTTATTGATCCACAGCACCCTATTTCTTACCCCTCGGTTAAGTAACTAAATGACTGACCACTCCCATATAGCACAGCTATACTATAACTTTGTTAATAGTATTGCCAGCGTATACGATTTCTCATTTATCATAATTCAACTTTCATTGAAGACTTTCATTTGATGTGATTAAATGAGTATTTATGTTGACTTGTTAAGTGTCATCAAGTAATTTATGTTGTCGCTTTAATTGGTACGGTTTCGCAATTGACTAATTTCAAATGCTTCGTTCCAGTGCTTGGGCATTGTTCATTACAAATCAATGCGTGCTAGTTGCATACCGCCTCGGGCATCGTCGCTATCTAAATTATACACTGAAGCGATTTCTTTACACATTTTTTGTCAGTGAAACTCTTTATTGTTTTATGTTTGCCCGATTGACAGAAGGGTAATGTTTTTAAAACAGAATTAACTATATAGTTTGGTATATTTTAAAAGATTGAATAAACTTATTTTATCCATTATAATCCATGAAAAATTGCTTGGATAACGTACAATTTAAGTCAGTTTTGTAGCATTTTACAGCAGCGTAGTTCTGCTGTCGAAACCATTACAAAAACATATCTATTGTCATCCATATCAGACTCAAAAAATATATATCACTAGCTGTTGCTCGGGTCTTCGCCCGCGTGAAATTAAAAAATATATACAAAGTATAGCCTATGTTACTCACAGATAAATTACCTTTACAATGGTGATTTTTTTTTAAATCAGCCCAGTAGTTTTTGCGTGAATCAAATACATACAAAAATACAAATCTTTCCTCCTTATTATATTAGTATAGATTTTGATTATTCTAAAAATTCATCACACACTATAATTAAAGATAATTAGGTATATATTTTTCCATTGGACATTACAATCGCTTTTAACTTGGGACATACAACATATGCGGCATCAACTATTGGACCGCGCAAATACAATGTTACAGCCTGATACACGCTAAGAATAATTTGCAAACTGCTTGTAAGTAACCTACACCTATTGTTTCAGAGGCGAGCAATTACAAAGCTTCTTTACGTTTGTTATTAGAACTAACGCATACTTGTGCAATTTAAAAACAAAGCTATTATAAATATTATAAACAAAGCTAAGGTTAGAAGAAAGGTTGCGACCATCGGGAATGAGGAAACAAGGGGAAAGAAAGAGATAGAATGCTGTTATTTTTATTATTAAATTATTATTTTTTATCTACAAAGTGTTCATAAAGTGCTCCATTTACATTTTTTATAAGCATAATACTACGATAGATTACTCGTATTTAAAATTAAAAAAAAACATACAGATGAATTGAGTACCTCCTTCTTTTGGGAAGTCGGTCAAAAAGTGGTTGTTGTTGGGCAAGATTGTTTTTATTCTTTAAAAAATGTCAGAGGATTAGAAATGATTAGAAATATAAGCATTTTGAGTAGAAACTATCTCATTCCAAATGCATTTAAATGACGTGAAAGTTGATATCTATAATTAGTGTATTAATTTATATTTAATGATATTAAACATAGAAATCACATCAAAATTTCGTTAAAAATAAAACATAACGATCCAATCTGAATGTTCTTTTACATTAAAACTTTTTAAGAATTTACGACACTTTATTTTGGAATATGCGATTCTGTCCGCGTGGTATAAAAAAAACAAAACTAAGTAGCCTGTGTGTACTTCCAGACTATCCGCTACATATATGCCAGATTTTATGAAGATCCATTCAGCAGTTTAGGCTACAAGCTTTAACAAACATCCATCCATCCATCTAAATTTCGCATTTATAATATTAGTATGAAGTATGATGAATTACATTAATATGCTCCAGGCTAGAAAATAAAAAAAGAAAAGTGTAAGTAAATTGACAAACATTTATTTTTAAACATCAAGCCAGTGTCAATTTGTATAGATCTAAGAGTAATGTAATAACTATTAGCCCTTTTAAATATAATTCTACTACTCTATAGTGTCTTTAAGCTTTTTTGGTATTAAAGAAAACGTTTCATGATAATGTAAACGTTGTAACAGGTAAATGCCTTTATCGGGCAATCGTCCGCGTTGACTAGAACAGGTACGTATAAAGATGACATCATCTGTGTTACAATACGATAGCACAGGTACACCAAAAGCACAAAAAAGGATGACAAGCGACGAAAGCTATAATAAAATCACCGATGACCAAAAAGTAACGTAAGACTTAAAAAGAGACATGTTATACTTTGATCTTAAAGTGTTATATACGTCTGTTTTCTATTTCGTCAGTTTTTTGAAAAACACGAATTAAAGGGAATTCATTAAGTAAAATTTTACAAACTCCTAAATCCTTACGAATCACTAACACATAGACTATCACTTCACTAATTGTAACTTTCCCAGCTACTCTTAACTATTCGTTAATGTTATTGGTTTCATAACTTCATGAAATGCATTTCCGAACTGCAAAACTTGAGTTTTACACATATGAAACTTTGTTTAAGCTAATGATAAAAGAAATGGAAACTTTAGCAAACCAGCATTAAGAAGGAACTTGAGTTAATAAAAGATTTAGTTTTAAAGGTACTAAAGGGCTGCTAAAAACCACGCTATAAATACAATATGCTAAGTTTGCGCACCGTAAATATGAGAGTTGGAGGTGCATATTTTGGCGAGTGTTGGTCAATCGTCCGCGAACACGCCGCGTAGGCCCCGTGTGGGACGTGTAGGGCTGAGGGGCAAACTACTTTTACTTCGTTTGCATTATCTCAATGAATATTTGCTGAATGAAACTGTTGATATCATACGTGTTTGTTATTTAAAGTTATATTTGGAACAACAGTAATGAAGAGTTAAATTATTTTTTTTAATATAATATGAATTGTAAACTACATAAATTAATACAAGAGGCTACAAAGGCTCTATTCACGTAAGCACAGGACAGGACATATGTAAATACGTACTACCTTTTAGCGTAATGATACTTTAAGGCTATTTATTTCCATTGATAAATACGATTATCGACCATTTTGGGAATAGGGGGTGGTCTAAGTCCAAAAGTGGAACATCAGTCGATTTAAACTAGATATTGTAACATCCGAGGCAAAAGCTGTTATAATCTTGCAAGGACGCTATCGGCGCTGCGCCCACGCAGATTCGAAGGCAAACTAGAGCATTTTAAAACTATACTTAAGTTACTATTACACCTTCGCACCACTTAAGCATGTTGACATTTCATTAAGCATATCTGATGACCTTTACAACTTGAACTTGATTAACTTAGAGTAAATAATACGCGCTAAGGTTGTGATATACCTAGCTATAGATTATTAACAAAATACAGTCTAAGTAAACTAAGTTAGCTTAAGTTATATCATTTAGATTAATTTATTTAAAATTGTCTTATGTTTTATTTTTACATAAACCATTGCAATTAAGGAATATGAAGTCATAATATTTTAATTGCGATATGAATTAGGCTTTGAATTCGAAAGTTAGGTATTTTACATACGAAAGTTAGAAAAAATCTAATTACAGATTACAGGAAATCTAATATAGTTATTAATTTTTTAGCATTTTTTAATAATAATTGTTGCTATAACTTGTTAATTTATAGACATCCAGCAGGATACCAATGGATACTTAATTTTAGCATCTTGTTTAAGACCTATAGACCTTTCTACTTTAATGTGAACGTCGTAAGAAATCAACATTCAGTCCGAGGCCACTTTTGCTTAATTTCACCACTTTCATCGTAAGTTAAATAATATTTATACAAGTTGAAATCGTAATTTGCAGACGTTACTTAACGAGTTGTATATTTAGCTGTCCTCAATCAAAATATAAGTTGCCACATAGAGGCAATCTGTAGATGGACATTGCCGGGCCAAAGCCATCCGATCTCACAACACAATACCACTGGCACACGCTTAACGGAAAAAGAAATGGAATAACAACGGTACCACTTGCGCACTTTTGTAATGAGAACAAACTATAAAAAAAGTTAATCTAAACCGATCTATGCCGATGCCTTTTTGTTTTAGAATGTTTTATAACGATTTTTTTTTTCACAAACACCTGTTATGCGGTAAGTATGGTCATTGTGACGCGCGTGCGTTCCTCGCGACGGCCGGCCGAGCACTGTTGCTGTTGCGATTGTTTACCGCCGGCACGGACTCGCAAAGAGCCTTTTCTATTTGCAGGTTGTAAGTTTCATGGTTGTTATTTCTTTGTCTCTCAGAGAATTTTTATTACGATTTATATGTAAAAAAATCTAACAAGATTTTCGATATATCATCTTGTTAACTTTTAACACAAATGGGATTACTCAACCTTATCATAAAATTGTCGTGTTGTAACACTTTAGTTATTGTCGTTATTGAAGGGTTTTTATATATGTTTTTAGACAGTGTAAACACACATTTATAAGAAATATTAGCTTTCGTCAGTGACTTCTTTCGGGCGAGTAAGTAGCTCATGTGTTCTTCCAGACTGTTCTATCTATGTCAAATTTCATCGAGTTCCATTCAGGAGTATAAACTCTAACATTAGTAAGAAGTATAGTGATGTGTATTCTTTGTTGCATGGTGGCCGGGCGCGGCGGCCGCGAGACATTCCGGCCTGTGAAGCGTCCGATGGAGAAAGTAAAGTACAGAGGATTCTCATCACCACGAACTCTACGAGTATGCTATTATTAGGTAAATTTTTAATACAGTAAAGATCAAATAACTAAAATTAGATTTTATGTTACAGACAGATACACTATACATATATCTACATTCTTTGCCACATTATATTGTACAATATCGTAAGAAGGTAATGATATAAAATCACTTTCCTAAGTTTTCTTCTTAATTATAGGATCCATTATAAATCCATTATAATATCTTTTAGTATTTCTTATCAATAATGTTTAATTATCAATAAATGTTATATTTAAATCTTTACTAAAAAAAAATAACAAATAAGTAGTTAATATAACGTAATGTTTTTCCTAGAGACATGTTTGAAACGTTTTGTACTACGACCGGAAACCCTTTAGAAATCTCTAGGAAAAGATTTCAACGAGTCATAAGTTTTAGATAAGTCAGTGATAATTTTTGAAGAACCATACATTTTTGTAAATTAAACACATTATCTGCGAATTGTGTGACTTAATGCCATCGAGACAATTTATAACTACTTTAAACCTTATGTTAAAGTAATCGTTACTTATTTACTTGTATACTAAACTATGTACTATTCCAAAACGGAAAGTAGACCTAAGCTAAAAATAAATCGCGCATGTCATTGGGCAATAAATCTTAATGTTAAAGCATAAAATAAAACCGTATCCGATAAACGTGTTTGTACACACCGCGTACAAAACTTTCTGATGATATTTGCTAACAATGGAAATTGAATGTACCTTGAAATATTTAGAAAACGGAAAAAGTCATGTATATTCATCAGTTTATCTACTAAGGGCCTGTCCCACCAAATAGTAAATTGTCTGATAACAGTCCAACGTGTAAAAAATGTGATGTAAATATCGGATTTTGTTACTTTATCTGACATTAAAGTCATTTTTAAGCTATCTGAGCCTCTATCAGCCAGTGGTGGCACAGGTTCTAAAATTTGTATAAGTATAAAATGAAACTGTGTTACGTCACATCGAGTAATTATGATCGACGCCTGTCACATATTAATAGCAAATTTTACAAGCTGATTTTTTTTTACTTTAGCCAAAACACTCGCTTAAATTCTATGTATAGTTTAACTGAAAAGAGAAATTAAAACTTTTCTGTCAGGTTGCATGTTTGCATGATCTTAAATTTGATAGAATATAATCATACTTCATATTAATATTATAAATGCGAAAGTTAAGATTGATAGATGGCTGTTTGTTAGAGTTTGTAGCCCAAATTGCTGAACGGATTTCCATGAAATTTAGTACAGATGTAGAGAATAGTCTGGAAGAAGACGTATGCTACTTTTGTTTTTTTTTTTAATTGTTGCTCAAGGAGTCGCGGGCGAAAGATGGTTAAGAATAAAACGATTTCATTTGTTTTTACGCATTTATTGCAAATATGGTCATATTCTTGTCACACATACTTATCACAGAGGACTTGTTAAACATCGTATTTTTTATTTCGTGAGAACATTGCTACAATGTTATCATCAGGCGTTTACAATTAATGAGACTGTTCATAACTGTGTTATCTTAATTTCTATATCTAAGTTAGAAAGTAATTTTATTAATATTACTTATAGAGAATTCTTACAAAAAAAACTAAACTAACAATTAAATGTAATATTTACAATTTCCTTTAGTAAAGGAATGAGTATTAATAAATCTTAAATTGTGTATGGATAATTTTCTTCCGACTACGCGGGCGCGGCTGCATGTGGATGTAGAGACATGGAAAAGTCATGTTGAGGCAACGGGGAATGTTTTTTCTTCTGAGGAACGATATCGGTGCCCCACGTCCACTGGGAAATAAATATTATGTTAGTCAATAAATTTGCAATTCAGTCATTTAGCAAACTGTTATTTATAGTGTTCAGTTTATTATTTAATGCTTTTATTTGAAATTATTGTCTAATCGGAAAAAATCTATAGAGCCGATTGATCAGTAAAAAGGAGATTAATGTAACTGCTACAACGTAATTAACTTAAATACTCAGAGCTACTGAACCCGCCAAAATTGCTATATTCTAGTATCTCTGAATGACATTGACAGCTGTCAGATAATCTAGTGTTGCGCTAACCCTCCAGCGCAGTACTGATTTTCTTCTTAAAAGAAGGTCGGTCAACAGAAACAAAATTACTGACACTAATCGAAGTTAAAAGAGTTTTGTATCTATATTTCTAGTCTTACCACTAGAATAGCAAGTGCGAGGCCTAGAGAATATCCAGCCAGAACATCACTCCAGTGATGTTTGTAGTCGGAGACACGAGACAGTGCGGTGAACCAACTCAGCATGACAACGGCGAACTGCAGCGAGTGACGCAGGACTCTGGTTCCATGCCATACCATACGCTTCTCTAAGTAGAGCTGTAAAGAGACACAAATATATTGGTTAGATTACTGCACAGAAAGAGACAAAATATGTAGATGCGTTAAGTCATGTTGTCAAATTTGTATCTACTGTAATTTGTTTTTTTTTTCTACAAGTTAATTACTTTGCGTGCCAGAGGCCTGATTTTATTCCCTTTCCATTTCCATCACTTTCTTTTAAGGAAAGGAGGGGAAGGGAAAGTGGATTTGATGGTGGAAGATGCACATAGCACATAGGAAGGGTAAATATGGTCTTTATGTGCGTCTGTTGCTCCTTTAATTAGGGATAGGCAACGCATCAGCATTTAAGGATGTCTATGAGCAGCAGTCGAATTCAGTGGGCCAGGCGGTCGTTTGCCATCTTATAATATAAAAAAAACTTTACTCAATATTTCTCTGAAAGTTTAACCAATAATATAGACAAATCGTTCAACTTTTTTGCGGCAAGAAATGCATCCATCCCTGCATTTCCTCCTCGTTTCCTTCCACCAAGCAAATATTCCAATGATAAGGTCGTTTTACTTACAGCTAAATAGATCATAGTGAACGCGGACCAGGAGGAATGTCCGCTGAGGAAGGACAGGTGCATGTCCTCGAACTTGTCCGTCATAATTCCGGTACACGTGTATTCTCCCGCCTGGATGTATCTACCGCGCCACGCTTCCATGCTGCAGTCCACTGATGGCTTACATAACTAAAAAGAAAAAAATGTTGAACTGTAGTACTAAGAGTTATTTAATTGTAATTAAGAGATACTTTTAGTGTTGATTTCTAAAACTAATACATCTATTGGAGACCAATTACGGCTGTTATGATCTTAAAGCGGCAGTGAGCCATTAAATAAAATCTTACTAATATTATAAATGCGAAAGTTTACATGAATGGATGGATGGTTTAGAGTTTGTGGCCTAAACAGCTGAATGGATCTCGATGAAATTTGTCATAGATTTATAGCATAGTCCGGAAGAACACATAGGTTACTTATTTTGGTTTTTATTTTTTAATTCCACGCGGACCGAGTCGCGGACGAAAGCTAGTATGACATAATTTATATAATTGAGTGTAGATAATGTTGTAAAACATATGTTTATTACATCACTCGTATTATTACAAAGTATAAACAGGGAAATTATTATGGATAAGGAAATCTTACTTTATTTACGTGTTGTAAAACATAATCGATTGCTGTTTTACAAAATGTTTGACGGAAAATCATTACTATCTTTAATCGGATTCAATCGATAACTATCATTTACGGATTAGTTTAATCGATGGGAAACTCGATTTTAATTTTTATGATCACTTAGATTTACTCAGAAATACATCTTACTTATTATAGACTCCATTTAAAATCTGTAGAAACTAAAACAAAATGCGAATATTAATTCTAGACTTATTAGTTGTAATCTTACTTGCCGCTAACATTAAATAGGACAAGTTTGGATGGATTTTTGCTACCGTGCAAGTTCAGAATACTTGCACAGATCTGAATACTAAAGTAACAGCCACATAGGCTTCTAAATATGTTTTTTAATTCGCCTGGACAATATCGCGGTCGAGAGCTAGTATTGTATAATAGACAACCACAACTCTATTATCTTAGAATGTCTGCTATTTAATGCCTCGATGTTCTATTGTTTCCGGATCATGTAACAATAAACTAACCGGTTTTAAGTTTCAATTGGCATAAATACATGCTTCAATTGACGCAAACTTGACCCTCAGTTGTAATTACTAGGAAGCATAATTAAATACAATTATCTTGACCTGCTAATCAATTCATTAACTAAGAAGATTAAAAGCGAAACTGATATATACTAGTGAGATATACATAACTAAATGTTTGCGTAGGTAAATTACATAGGTTGTGTAGGTAAATTGTAACGTTTAACGCATGGATATTTAAAGACGGTGTACTATTTTACTGTTGATCATTCATCCACCAATTATTACAATATTATTTACCAAAACACAAATGCGAAAGTTTGGATGGAAGGATTAATAGTAATTTGTTGACCGACTTCCCAAAAGAAGGAGGTATTCAATTCGTCGATATGTTTTTTTTTTACCAAAAAACTCAACATACATGACGTATTTTGTGGCATGTACAGACAGATAACCTGTTATATCCCTTTTTTTGACCGACTTCCCAAAAGAAGGGGGTACTCAATTGTTGGATATACTTTTTTTATTTTTTTTATGTGGGTTACGGCACCGACATCAAAGTAATAATAATTGTACAATATAGATATAACAGCTACAATAAGGTAGGTTTACTATTTTCAAGGAATTATTTCGTTACTTTTTAGTGTACTGTTTTTTTGAGAATATTTTGTTTTTGGTGTATTTTGTTCTGCTTTTAGTGCATTTTGTTTTGTTTATAGTGTATTTTGTTTTGACCGACTTCCCAAAAGTAGGACGCACCGTCTGTATGTTTTTTTGTGTGTTTACGGCATAACTTCGCCGCCAGTAGACCGATTTTGATAATTCTTTTTTTATCCGAAAGGTAGTGCTTGCAGGTAGGTCCCATTCTTTCAATTGATTTTTGGAGTTAAAGACTACGACGTAGTTAAATAGTTTAACTCACAATCGCGCGACGAAATTTGGGGTCTTTTTTGCTTTCTTTGCTTACGTAGCCTAAACTATAAGATTTACATAAAAATGATGTATGGAAGAATTGTAGCCCTTTAAATTTTCATTTAACGCGAATGTCATGCGATCAAGCTACTGCATGCAATACAAACATAACGTTCGTAAAATATAGTATCGGGAGCTAAAACAACCCAAACGTGGTAAGAAACCCGTATCATACGAACATTTTATTGATATAACGCCTGTTACTATGAGGAATTTAATATTAAATGTGTAATAATAATGACTATTCGTGTTAACACAGATAATACAATACTAGTATTTTATTATCTAATCCTAATAAAAGAATACTTTATCTCTAATGACCAATTTTTTTTATCGACTAATGTTTTTAGTTGGATATCTTATCTCGATTTAACTAAAACATGTCGCGTAAACTTAAATGTAACTCTTATATAATTGTTTTTTTTTTTATTCAAAAACTATAACATTGATTTATCATGTTCTAGAAAAAGCAAATTTAAATGATAATCAAATAATAGTATGTCTATTTATATACTTATATTATAAAGAGGAATTATTTTTGTATGTTTTGAAATATGTATGAAATATACGGGTTTTGAGAGAACGTTAGTTATGAATGTGGAAGGGTACACCGGTAGGGGAAGACCTAGAAAGAAATGGATTTTTTTTATACAAAAAGGTGGCAAACGAGCAAGCGGCCACCTAAATCCGCAAAAAAGGCAAAGCGACCGCTGCCCATAGACATCCGCAATTGTAGATGCGTTGCCTACTCTAAATCGACGAAGGAGGAGAAGCTCATAAAAGGATCTTTCCCCATCTTATGCGTCTCCTACACCGTCAAATCCACTTTCCCATCCATCCTTCTCTTAAAGAAAAAGGTGGGACGGGAAAGGGACTAAAATTGCGTGAAAGGTGACATGGTCAAGAAGGGAGTGATGACTGAGATGACGTATGATAGAGTTATTTGGAGGACAAAAACCTGTTGCGCCGACCCAACGGGAGTAGAATAAGGAGAAAGATGATGCATATATTGAAATAGGTTAATAACTACTGGGCCGATTTAGAAAATTACTTTACCATTAAAATCTTACGTCATCACTGAGTAACATAGGCTATATTTAATTCTGATCTTTTAATTCCATGTGAACGAAGTCGCTAGCAACAGCCTTTTTGAATATGAATAGATGAACATTTTTACAATGTCAATATTAACAACTAGCTTTTGCTCGCGATTCCGTCGACGTGTTTAAAACTTAATAATAAAGAAATGAAAAAATATAGCCTATGTTACTCACAGATAAATTAACTTTCTAACGGTGAAATTTTAAAATCGGCCTAGTCATTTTTGAGCCTATTCATTACAATAAAACAAACAAAATTTTACACTTTATAATTTTAGACTGGATTAAAACGTTTTACACATTTCTAACACATGGACGTTAAGTAGACACACAGTCCGTCAACAATGGTGTACTTAAATCTGCGTCCGCGCAGGAAATGTGTAATGTTATTGAATTTAATCCAATCAAGTTCTAAACGTAACATCCTTATATCATTTCAAACTTCATTATTCTATACATTCAAAGTTCTATACTAAATTTCAAAAAGACGAAAAGACATGTCAATATTTTCGCTATGTTGACTTAGGGCCTGTACCACCACGGGCTAATGAGGATCAGATAGCTTAAAATGACGTCACTGTCATATAAGGGAGCAAAATCCAGTATTTCCATCACATTTATATACGTTGGGTTGTTTTCAGACAATTTACAATTTGGTGGGACAAGCCTTTAAAGCTATTGAATGTTTTGCTATAAATGAGATTGGTATTTTTTACAGCATTTTGTTATTAAATTAAGTTGTTTAATTAAATATACGTACGTCAAAGAAATGTGGTCGTGGTCTTCCTATGACGTTCTTAGCGATGTTGGTGGTGAGCTCCACGAAGCAGGTGCCCAGACCGAAGGAGACCAGGGTGCAGTAGAAGCCGCGCAGCCAGCTCGGAACGCGCATTCCCAAACAACGCTGGTCCTCGTACTCTTTACGGAGTAACACCCATTCGCATATCAAGAACTGTCAACAAATATGATGTAATGGTTAATATAGGATGCTTTTAAACACATTGTGATAGAAAGAGGTGTTCATAATATTCGAATAGAAGAGCATTTTGCACAGAGTATTGCGTTTAGTAATCTGTATATTCATATTAATAATAATTGTGAGTAGTTAAACAACGCTTAGGAGCGTTTAAACATGTTTTTTTTTTCTATTCTAACTTAGTCAGTCGAATGTTTATTCCAAAACCTTTCAAAAATTATTTTACAAAAAGTCGACAGCCATATATTTAAACGTAATAATTCAGAACGATAAATTCCTCTTTATTAAAGTTTAAAACAATTATTTATTCTATAATACGTATTAATATTGCAGTTAAAAGCTTACAATGATAATAGGCAATCCAAGTCCGACAGCTCTTAACACCGGGGTAGAGACGGTGTCGTTCTTGTAGGGGAACATGAGACTCTCGTCGCCGCAGAAGAAGCCGCGCTCGAACGGCTGCCATAGGTACCGCGTGAAATAGATGCTGAATGCCACTACAAAGAGATATTAGAAAAAATAATAAATCGCGAAATTTAGGCGTATATGAGATAAGAGAAAAGGGAGGTTTTAAATTCATTTTATTTGTTTTAATTCAACTAAGATATAAAGAATTAATTTACTAGCTTTCGCCCGCGTCTTAATCTGCGTGGTATTAAAAAAAACAAAAGTAAGTAGTCTCTGTGTTCTTCCATACCATGCTTTTCATATATGCCAAATTTCATCGAGATTCGTTCAACAGTTTAGGCTACAAACTCTAACAAACATCCATCTAAACTGTCGCATTTATAATATTAGTAAGATTTATTTGATTCTAGATTAAAATTCGGATGAAAAACCTAAGGAAATAACTGAGCTGAGGGCCTAATTGACATCGATAATATTTGTATGAGATTTGTAAGTACTTTACAGCGGTACATAAATCTATTTTATATTCATTTATTTATATAAGATTCATATATTGTTATGGTTATGAATACTTTCTAGCAAATTTTCGTGCTATACCTCAGAGCTGTCCCTATATTGCGGGAACTGGAAATTTAGTCGACAGTTAAATTTAAATGGTCAGGCAACGGTAAATCGCTTTACAAGTTAATTACGAGAAAGTTGTCCCCGTATACCAAGGAGCTTAACACGAGCAAATTGAAAGTTTAAATCAATTTAAATAAAAAAATAGATATTAATATTATAACATTATTATATACATTTCTTATATTTCTTAAGTAAACGTTGAATAGTAGAAAAAGTACATAGCAATATAGCCTTTGCAATAAAAAATTACATCTAATAAAATAATACGTAACATTTTTTAAAAAAAATGTAGTTAACTTTTTAAATAAACATTCCTAATAAAAATAATTATAAAAAATAACTTACAAGCACCAAACATAAATGCGTCAACCACGATCTTTCTTAGTACAAACATCGTGACATCCTCCCGAGACATGGTGCGTCCAGCGCTAAAACAGAATAACTGACTGATTGCTGACTTAACCACCTTCTTAAGTATACCGCACAGAGTAATGTAACACTAGACAACGCGTATTCTATTTTATCTTATCGATTCCTCTTATATCACTAGCATAGTGTAATTAAATACAGAGATTTCTTTGTTAAATGTCTTTCGAAATTCGGAACACCAATTTTTTTTAGTAGATACAAAACGTACGAGTAGATAACTATGTATGCCTATAATTAGCCAATAACCTTTATTTTTGACCGACTTCCCAAAAGAAGGAGGTACTACACTACTACAATTCGTCTGTATATATATTTTTTTATGTGTGTTACGGCATAACCCCGCCACTATGATACTACGATTTTGATAATTCTTTTTTATCCGAAAGGTAATGTTTGCAGGTGGGTCCCATTTTTTTGTTTGACTTTTGGAGTCAAAGACTACCACGTAGTTAAATAGTTTAGTTCTAAATCGCGAGACGAAATTTAGGGTCATTTTTGCTTTCTTTGCTTATGTTGTTGGCACAAAATTTTTATTTCAAACAGCGATGCTTTTGGTCTTTAATATGTGTTTATTTTATTATTAGATACCATACCGATGTTTTCTTAAGAAATAAGTAGATCTGAAGAGATTTGAATCCAAATCTTTTATGAATCTGGGGTTCATCTTGTTTGGTTCAGTGAAGCATTAAGCGGAAAACTAAATCTCAAACGGTGCAAACCTAATCTGAAATATCTGCAGCATATGTTTTTATTGTCTTTGCGTTACCACTTACTTCCGTTCTGATTCGTTTTCGCTAATTAGAGGCCAATTTAGGCCTTATTGTTAAATCAGGCATCAAACAAATGTTCCATTTAAAACATATTTTATTACTCTGCAACCAATTTCAATTTAATCAGAAAAGTCAACGCACGCCGTCTTGATAGTTCAGTAAACATGAAATAATACGTTGATCTGAATCACGCTGTTTTTACACTTAAATATAATCAACTAGTTTTCGCCGGCGACTCTGCGTGGAATTAAAAAAAGGTGAGTAGCCTATGAGCTAGACTATCCTCTAGATCTGTGCCATATTTCATCGAAATCCATTCAGCCGTTTAGGATACAAACTCTAACCATCCATCTACACTTTCGCATTTATAATATTAGTATAATATATAGGTTCATACGGGCTAAGTAAGTCAATATTAATATGATAATGGTTAATTATTTTTACAATCCCAGCAATTCTTGTTGAAAGTCTGTAGTAAAAGCGATAGGTGATTTTTTCGACGAATAACACATTTTTTTGTTTAATTTGTTGCAATCAACATTATTGTGTCAATTCGATAGTGCTGGCAGATGTTATCACCACGCGTGGGGCGGCTGGGGCGTGTTGGTGACGTCACCGCGGCCCGCGAAGGCGTGATCAAGACGCGCGGCTTCCGATACCCGCTATCTATAGATAGCGGTATTTATAGAATAGCTATAGATACCCTTTGCACCGACCCGCCTCGGATTTCACGCTTATTTTTCGCTCATTTTTTATACCTAAAATCTTTTGATAACAAAATGTTTAGCTGTTATTGGAATGGACTTGACATGAGCAAAAAAGGTCAGATTTTGAGATTATCGATTCTATGGTAGAGTGAAATGTATGAAAATGTTTCTTTCGTACATTTTAAGTTCTACGTATAAAGCCTTGACAGTGTTTTGTTTAACAAAGATATTTTTAATGCATACTTGTGATAAGTTCACGTATTGTTAAAAAAACGATTTGAAATTGAGGAATTAAAAATATAGCAACATTTTAACGTAACAAATAACAACTTTGTCAATGAAGAACATTATTAAGGAAAGAAAACATTTTATAAGTCAGTTAACCTATTTATCTGTTGTATTACTCTTAAAATATACTTTGACCTTATAAAAAGTAAACAAAAAATTCAACGAATACAATTTATATGTTCAAAAACAATATCTATATATAGGATCGTAAATAAGAAGTCATCGAACGCATTCAGTTTGTGCCTAGGTCGTATCTCTGGGTATAATATAACGTTGGGTTTCTATTGTGCGTGAATCCACGGAGGGACAGCTGAGAACAAAAACCGCATATAGAAATGCAAAGACCGCATACCATGCGCCGTGGAAGCGTGCGTTAAGAATCATGCGGTGCGTCGACCAGTCATCCACACCTGAGCCGGCAATGACTTGGATGTTACTTGCAACATAGTTGCTTATAATCTTTGATAATTTATATATTGTCTTACAGTTTTAATGAATTAAGTTATAAATTATTTCACTAATACTATGAATGCGAACTTTTATAAGGATGGATGTTTGTGAGACTGTCGTTTAAACGGCTGAACAGATCTCGGTGAAATTTGGCATAGATGTAGAGAAAAATCTGATAGAATACCTTCACTACGTGCTTTTGTTTGGAAAGGTAAAACTAGTTTCATAATGTTTGTACTACCTTTCGCCCGCGACTTCGTCTGCGTGGAATTAAAAGAAAAAGTAAGTAGGCGATGTGTCTTCCAGACTAGGCTCTAGAACTATGCCACATTTCGTCGAGATCCGATCAACAGTATAGGCTACAAACTCTAACCAACATACATCGATCTAAACTTTCGCATTTATAATATTGTTGTTTATATATACAACTCAAATTCTAAATATAATTGTCGACCTACTTATGAGCTACTTAAATGTTTCTTTGTAAATAAAAAAGTAATACCGTACTGTTGTGTTATCTAATTAAAATTAGTTGTTTGCATAGATTTTTGGCAATAAGATGATAACATAACTGTAATAGATGATGAAAATTAAAACAACGTAATCTTTAGTTTAAAAGCAAGTCAAGATGAGTAGTATATTGTGCTATTCAAACGTTTTGGTGTCTCGGAATTCAAACACGAGACGCTGTATTTCTATACAGCACTATGAACACAATCGTACAAATTGACAGAAAGTATGGGATTCTAAGACAAGTCAAACTGGAGACAGTTTTCGTCACTCGTATTGGGCTCACAATCATAAAGTTTGATTCGTGTAATAGTTGCATGAGTGCATTACATATTGTTTTCTATTCATAAAATGACGTCAAAAACAAGCAGTAATTTGCCTAAATAACTGCTTCTTAATGCGTCATTTAAATGTAACATGTATTTAATATTTCTAATCAACCATGTCAAGGGTTACAATAACCGCTTGGATTTATTTATCTTCAACTTATCTTTTCGTACTATAATTACTATTGCTTCCTCATGTGTTGGGGAATAACATTCTATGTGCCGTCCAATTTACAGATTGTTAAGTAAAATATGCTTATCACTACTTAACAGTTGGATACAATGAAGTAACGGCTCGTGCCGAGGTTCCCGAGGGAGCCCTCGAGCTTAGTTACTCATAAACGAGGTTTAGGTTAAGCGCCATCTGTGCTCGGCCACCTCAAGCCCGGTGAATCTGTAAATGCCTCTTCAAGGGAAACAGTGGCCATTCAGTCACAAAAAAAAATTGGATATAACTGCCCTTATACCTTCAAATCGAACTTTCATTCGAAGTCAATCACCGCTCGCTTTGTAATTAATTCTTTCATGCAATCTATCTCTTCCTAGGTCTTTTTTTATTGTGCGAGTTGTCTTAAATATTTTTACTCTTTTTCTATGGGGAATCAAGTTATTTGATGTTTTGTCTACTAAAATACTTACGGTGGCCCACTTTTAACCTAACTGGCCAGTCTTTTCACATGTAATTCTTCACTCGATGCCTTGTTTTTTTGACAAAAAAACTGTAAGTCGAGTTTTCGAAAGTAAAGATGAACAACTAATTACTGATTTATTGTATTTATCAATGAATGTTTAAAGTAAATGGGTGTGCGGCCGCGTGACCAATTGTATTATCACATTTTGTTTATGCGTTTGTGACGCGATTTAGAATATGGAGTAGGTAAACTATCCACCAGATAAATTCTATACTGATTTTATCTATTAAAAATAGGACAATAGATATGCCTATCAGTGATCTAATTTCAGGAAAACATTCTGAATTACTATATAACATTTTTGACGTTAAGTTCCTTTATTTTATACTGGCTGTTGCTCGCGTCTTCATCCGCGCGCAATTAAAAATTATAATAAACATTGTTTATGTTACTCAGTGATAACGTAGCATTTTCTTGCTGAAAGAATTTTTGAAATCAGCCCAGTAGTTTTTGAGTTCTTTCATAACATACAAAAATACAAATATTTGCTCTTTATAAAATCTCAGATAATAGCCAAGTGCCTTTTCCTGTTCATCTTTCATTTTCTTACCATCGTTCATAACTGAAACACTATCTCGCTCTTTTCAAAGAGAATGAAATGGAGAGAAAGAGATGGACTGTAATAACGATTAATATGGTGCATCTTATATTAAAATTATGACGGAAAATATCAGAAAAGTCACAAGTAATTCATGAACTTCGAACCTATTTGATAAATGAGTGGAAAGTATTACATAGATATGGACATAGGTCATTCAATATGTAGTATGTCCATGTTTATGAGACTTTACACTATCTATGCTTAAAAAGGAAAGATTTGTATTTCTGTATATATCGAAATACCCTAACAACTAGTGGTCCGTTTTCAAAAGTTCTTTCATTTAAAAGCTACGTAATAAGTGATTAACATAGGCTATATTTTCTCTTAATATCACGAGGGCGAAGTCGCGAGCAACAGCTGGGTATTAGTTTGTAAAACAAGAACTTCTTCTTTTTTTAAGTCTTTTAAAATTAGCCTGATTGTTTGTCATTTTATATTTGTAAATCTGAAATATGCAAACAATTTTAAATACGAATTATGTTGTATTTTTTAAGATACTACCTTTTCATGCGACTTTTTTACGGTATTTAATTTAATTGTAGGTATTTAAATTAATTGTATTTATGGCCAAAAAAAAAAAAAATTAAAGTCAGTCTACAAGAATCTGAGTTCATTCGTTATATACAAAAACACAAGTCTTTCCTCTTTAGTGCAGTAATTTTATCACTTTTATTTAAATATTATATATTTATTTAAATATAAATATTTATGGTCACCCTACATATGTTTATTATAATTTAAAATTTCCCAAGTACAAGTACTGAATAAAGTACAAGAATAAGTTGTCGTCCACTATACATAAACATACGACTTATATAAACTTTAGTCATTCATAACATATTTATGTATCAACTAGCTGATGCCCCCGACTCCATCCTCGCGGAAATAAAAAAAAAACTTAATCAATATCCATTTTTCAAGATAATGTTTAAAAATTAACTTATAATATTATATGTATATCTTTTAATGTAGCAACTAACTATTAATAAAATTTGTTAACGGATAAGAGAAGGTCCTGAAACACAGTTGCATAATTAGTTCAGGAGACAGGGCCACAATGAATTTTGTGAAAATGGTTTTTGTCCAATACAGAGTTTTTATTTTTTTTTATTTCAATGTTCTACATGTGAATCAAAAAACATGTAGATGTGATAGAGGTATCAAACATCCATCCATCCATCCGAACTTTCATTTTTACGTCGTTACTAATCTAATATTTAACTATGAATGTCATTTTAAAATATCCCTACAAAATGAATGTATATCTGCTTTAAAGATAATTTTGCGTCTATTAGTACTCCGGCAGTAGAAACTGGCTGAAAAATGATATAAAAATAAAACAAAGAAATAGATTAAATAATATAATGTAGATTAATAAATTAAACACAAACAAATAACCTTTTATTGTTCTACAAAATTCAACTAGTAATCTCTCCCTCGCCGCTGGCCGCTCGCCGCTAGATATTGAGACAATGAAAAATATTAACCTAGTAAAAGTTTATTCCGATTCCATAACAGAAGAGCTTTACAATAGAACTTTTAAAATCGATGCAGTATTTTCCCAACTTATTTGGACGAACAATCAATTTTTTTTTTATACAATAAGTTGGCAAACGAGCAAGCGGCCACCTAAATCCGCCAAAATGGCGAAGCGACCGCTGTCCATAGACATAGCATTTGCAGACGCGTTGCCTACCCTAAATCTACGGAGGAGGAGACGCACATAAAGAGGATATTTCCCCTTCCTTTGCGTCTCATCCACCGTCAAATCCACTTTCCCATCCAATCCATTTTTTATAAGAAAAGGTGGGACAAGAAAGGGACTAAAATCGGTTTCTCTTTATATCGTTTACTTTACTGTCAAATTTCTCACACAAATACAGTCATGTTTGAAAAAAATTGTAAACTGCACAGCATACATGTGCAGTTAATAAGTGGGTAGGCAAAACAGAATTTATACAGCCTTACAAATAAACGCGGTATAAACTTAAACTTAGAAATAAATTGAATAGTACAAATTTTGCTTATACTCAGTTTATTCCAAAGTTTAACTTTATACCGTGTTTATTTATAAGGCTGGTAAAATTTAAACGACACTTAAATTTTTGTCTATTGTCCTGAAGATGTGTAGTAGTCTTAATAAATTGTATTTATACGGATATTTCAGTAATTATTCGCTAGTGAATAAGTTACATTTAGGTCTCTTATCGTCTTAGGTCAGAAGACGATAGGACGAATCAAATTTCGAGGTTTCAAAACCAAATGCGAGTCTTGTATTTAAAGGCTGGAATGGTTTTCATTTAGAATTAAATGCCTATTAATATTCAAATTTATTTTATCATTATCATTCATTTTTACTTCTACACAAATACAGTTAAAAACTTTAGTGATAACAAGTACTTAATTGACTACATTGGCTATTAAACTCTGAGTGCGCACTAAGTCTTATTAATTGGTTAAATTAATGTTTCGTAAATTCCTTTTATAAAGTGTTCATTATATAAATTAATAAAAATACACAGTTTTATTCAAGTCAATATACAAATATGGCATAACACTAGAACATTGTCTGCGCCTTTTGGTTAAGGTCGTGAGTGTTTCATTACATTAAGATAGAACTTGTGCTCGTAGTCATCGGGACATAACAGGCTGTGGCAGCATTTCAGGAGGCCCCGTCTCCCAGGAACGCGGTATACCGTATTTCTTCGGTTTCAAGATGTACACGAACTGGAAATAGAAACAGTATTTTGTTAGAAGTATAATAATAAGGCTATTTATTAATAATTCCCTTATTATACACAGGTAATAATTATAATTGAAATTAGAAGGTAAGTAGTTGCGTTTTTGTCTTAGCGCCTGCCATAAAATTATAGATGTACAGATGGTTTTGAGTTTTAAAATATCATTAGGCGCTTCAGCATTTCATTTTCATTTTGTCAAGGTGGAGGCGGTAGGGCAACCACCATTAATACAGTCAGATCCGTAGTGGGGAGCTGCATAATTCCGTTTGTCTCCTATTTACTACGCTAACCGTTTACAATAGAAGATAAATCACTCACTACAATAGCACCAAAAGCGAATCCCACGAGGAATCCGACAGCGACATCGCTCCAGTGATGCATGTGGTCGACAACTCGCGACAGTCCCACGTACCAGGCAGCGATTAGTGCAGCGAACTGACAGCCGTGACGTAACAGCTTCGAGCCGCGCCACTTGCCCTTCACCTGGATGTAGAACTGCACGAACACATTACTATGCGTGTACAATAACATGATATCATGCGTGTGGGTTTTGTTTTTAGAGCGTGTTTAATCAAATATAGTATGAGCGTTAATATTTACGGTATGTGCTTTTTGGGCTTTGGATAAAAATGAAATTGTTTTCTCATGCACACACACGTATTGGTAAAAATATTCTACCTCAGTTTGAGAAGACAATACTAAATTTAATATAAAAAATTCACATAGAAATACCGGGCTTACATTATGACAGTGAATTTCAGTGTGGGTTTATATTTTTATCGCTGGACTGGAATAATGTAAACCGGTCATAATTAATCAATGAATACATGGTCAATGATAGTGATACGTACAATAAAGAAGACAGCGGTGTACATAGCGAAGCTTGCGTGCGCGCTGGGGAAACTGAGTCGCATCTCCTTGAGCTGTGCAGCACTGGCCCCTGAACAGGAGTACGCCTGGATGTAGCCCAGCGCGTTCAATGGAGACGACGAGTTAGGGATCGGCCTGCATAGCTGGGGATAGGGAATTTTATCAATCAATATATAAGCAAAAAGTGCATAGTAGTAGTGTGAACGTTGGTGACACAGGGGTTTAAGCACTTGACTTGTAATCTACAGGTCTTGGGTTCGAATCCCGGCGTACTAATGTAGTTAGCGATTTTCGTATTTCATATGTACATAATTTACCCGACGTTCTTACGGTGAAGGAAAACATCGTGATACCTGCACATATCGGTGGAGAAATTCAATGATATGTGTGAAGTGAACCCGCAGTGGGCTAGCGTGATTGACTATGGCCTAGTTACCCCTTATTAGGGTAGGATCCGAGCCCCTGTAAGGACGTATAGTGAGCTAGCGATGGTGACAGTACCCAGTACAAAACCAATAGATCTTACATCAAAGAAATGTGGTCTCAATCTCCCGATGACGTATTTAGCGGCGTTGACAGTGAGCTGCTGGCAGGCCGCGCCGAATGTGTACACCCCGACCGTCACGTAGCTCTCCCACGCCCAGCCCGGCACAAGCCATCCACTGACGAACTTCTCGCCTGCACTATTCCCGCGCTTGTCCCGAATAAACTCTGTTATAACAACCTATAAACAAAAGAAAAATTGTTTTTTTTCTGATAGTATCGTCTACTCTGTTAATTGGATAAAGGCAGATTGAACATACCCTAAATTTACATCAGGCCGAACGTATACCTTTGTAAAAAAGATTATTTATCTCAGATTATACATGAGAGTGAGTGAGATGTCAATATGTTTCTATACCTTTTTTTAACAGTAGCAGCTCACGCTTAAATTAATATACGTCATCGCATTTTGAGCGGGCGCACACCTTTGGCTAATCTATCGCACAACAGTTATGCGATTGTCGCTTGTTTAGCAGCCAAGTCAACTGTTTAGTTGCACACCTAAAAATCGAGTAGTGTGCGCACTTCCATATAAGCTCATAGGAATCAAAGCGCGACTAAATAGTTGTGCGATATTTTAGTCTAAGGTGTGCGGACGCTCTTATACGTTACCGTAACAATAATGAAAGCGAAGCCCAGTCCCGCGAGCAGGCCTTCTGAGATTTGTTGCTGTTTGTATGGTAGCCGTAGCGAGTGGTCGTCAGCGAAGTAGCCGCGGTGGTAAGGCTCCGCCCACAACAGCAAGCCCAGCAAGGGAAACGCCACTGCATATATAGGACAATAAACAATATTTAATGGTTTATCATTATAATTAGCAACGTGTACTTATGTGATTTGTTCCCAACTATTCGTGAATAGACAAACTGTAGGCGGAATTCACTATTCGTTGGTAACATACTTTGAAAAAAAATCGAACTGTGTAGACAGGTAACTATTACTTGCATGGTATCGCGTACTAGTGATAAAACATCCATTTACAAATATTACTTTTCAATCAAAATTAATTATCTAAAATTATCTAAAATATCAAGGGAGTAATGCGAACCAAATGTTTATAAATCTTACAGTCGAATTCTGAAACGCATCTTAAAAATTCGCTTCGTTAGCGCCGTTAACCATCTGACAGAAGTTAAATTGTAAAGTAATTTGGACTTTGAGATCCGGCGCACACCCTTGACTAAGGTATCACACAACTGTTGTGCGTTTGTCGATCGTTTCGCAGCCAATTCAACTGGTTAGGTGCACAACTAAAAATCGAGTAGTGCGCACCTCCATATAAGCTCATAGGACTCAAAGCGCGACTAAACAGTTGTGCTAAAATTTATTCAAATGTGGGCGCGCGCTCTTAGGTTAGCATTATAATTTAAGACGCTGGTATTAAAATTACGTTTCTGTATTCGAGTGTTATATTTATAATTATGTATCCTTGAAAATCGAAGCTAAAATCCTCGTTAAGGTTGACAATATAATCCACAGGGAAGTCTGTACCTGTTATCGTTATCAAATGTTTTAACATCGGGGTCAACGGAACTTATCTAGAGCTACATCTTGTTTATTAACTAAATAAAATTATATCTTAAAATATACCACATCATTATAAACAAGATTTAAACAAACATTAAATGAAATGTTAGTGACGTAATTTTAGACATTTCCACCCATAAAACGACGCCCAAATCCCTAGAAGATCTAGGTAGGTCTAGAGTTGACAGCTACTATTAGAATTGTCTTATACGAGGTTTATACACATTCGTGAATGTTTTCTCTATTACGTTCTATGTTCTCTATTGACGGCCAGCTGCCGCCCCCTGGCGACGCGCGTGGTCGTTTCTTAAAACAATTACAAGTTGGCACATTCTATTACGTAAGACAAAGTCGGATATAAAATGTTAAGATTTTCACGTTTGGTAATTGTGCAAGACCATAGTTAATAGATAAATAGTCAATATTGTATAGTTCATATCGTATAGTTAATATTTGTGTAAGATAATAGTTAATAGA